TGAAAGCATCTTTGTCTAACACCAGTCTTCAATTGGAATACAGTCAGTTAGTCAGTCAAACACAACGTAGAACCTGGTACATCTGTACGTCGGTTTGGGTTGTCTCAGCGCGTTAGCACAACGAAATGGAATTGTTAGTTTAAATCACAGAATATGAGAAGTTGTAACAGTATTAGTGGTAATTGGAAAAACTGGGAAACGAAGATTTGACTCAAGGAATTATAAATAAGTCAAATAAAAAGTAAATTATGGGAAACTCAGAAGTTTGGAAATCGTGGGAAGATAAAGAATGGATGCACCTGGACAATTGTAAACCATTTTGTTTCCTGTCATTTACAGCCCTCAAACACTAATTGCGATAATCACGCTCAACCCAACCAGGTAGTCTACACTTGTTAAAATGACTAAATCCACATGGTCAATATTTTCATGATTTGGTGTTGTTTGGATTTGACCGCCCTTAGCTTTCTTCCAGCCTTACTCTCACACCAGATCATGTCACTCGTCGAGGTAGGTGGTTGTCTGGTTGTTAGGATGTACAGAAAAATATACCAATAGTTATCATGTTAAGTCTAATGTTGTCCTTGGACGCTAAATGTACATTCCCTATTGGTCGATATTTACTTCACATGTTTAATATTGTGTAAATGTTGTTTTCTATTTTTATGGTACGATGTGGTATGTTTGGTTAGTATATAAACAGAGTGTGTTTGAAATATAGTGATTCATATCTCAGAGGCTGTGACTGGCGTTCTGGACTCAACTGGCTGGGCTAGACAGGGAAGCAGGGCCAATCGGGACACTAGGTCGTTCATTACGTGTTTTACGTCACACAGAGGCGATCGATATAAACCCTGCTCCATCTAACCTTCAGTCTCACACCCGTTACAACACTGGTATGAGTAACTTATGTCTCAACTACCTCGGCTAATGAAAATTTAATTCCTCATCAATCGATTCAGCAACCTTACTCAATACCCCATTCCCAACACAATCATCGTTTACTCGATGATCCAAAAATACATGAGCAATGATTTAAAGACGCCTATCGTTCAATACTAGCATCCTACACTATTCTTCGGTCTTAATGATCATATACATATGACCTATCTTCCATGTACCATGACCTTGAAGTGCAGTAACTCGTATGAATCCCATATGCTGGTGGCAGTTTCCTCACGTACTCCATGGTGTTGAAGGAGATTCCATAAGCTGTTGCCATTCACGCTGTAGAATATTTTCTAGTAATCAAGAAAGCTGGTGTTCAGTATTGAGTTTCATTCAATTAATTGCTCAACAATGAGACGCAGTGTCGCGATTCGGACAGAACATGATCGAACCTTACGAAACTCAACATGTTGATTTTGAAGTTAAACATCTACCAAATCTTTTACTCGGTTTAGTTACACTGTTGTAAACTTTGCTTATCACTGAGAGTTATGCGTTACCTTTGTACACTTACTAAGATCAGCTTTCTTCGGTATATTGATGAGTTGTCTCTCTTCCCAGTCTGTTTGTAATTGTTCTTCCTCCCAAATATTTGTGGAGAAAACGTGAAACATCTTTGTGGTTACCATCGTATCTAACTGCAGTGTTTAGCTGGTGTGCTGTCTGATCCATTGTTGATTTATCTGACGGCCTTGTAGATTTCTTCGATTACCGTTGAGTATGGTCTATGGAGAGGTGTTCTGTGTGTGCTGCTTGGGCATCCGTTGAGTTCATTGAGACTGGTCTATTCAATAGCTCTTCACATTGCTCCACTCACCTGTTTAGCTTTTCTTGAATCTCAGTGCCTACTTTGTCTTCTTTATTCTTGAATGGTCACTCTAGTTTACAATATTTTCATACTAGTTTATTCGTCGTATCATATAGTCGTCTCGTATTTCTTCCTACAACTTTTTCTGTTGTCATTGCTAGATCTTGTACGTATTTCCGCTTGTCGGCTCCAATGCTCGCCGTCATTTTCTTATTTGCTTCTGTGTATTCGACCTGTGAATTTTCATTCTTTGCTGTTGTCGACTATTATCTTCTTGTTTCCTTTGTTGAAACTTGCAAAGGCTGTCTACAACGATGGGTTTCTTATAATTGTGCTTCTAGAGTCTCAATAACTGGACAGATTTTGAAGTTGTTGCCTCAGCAATTCTTCGCTAGTTGGTCTACATGTTATTATAAAATTCAGGGTAGACCATATTGTATTCCTTGTGTTTATACATAGGGTAGTTGATTTTAAATGTTACAAATTCCAAAATGTAATATATATACCGCATTATATTCTCTCGTTTGATATCGTGGACTCCAAATGACCAGTCTCTATTGGCCCATGTATATCATGTTTAGAGCAAGTAACTGAATTCAATATTTGTAAAATAAGAGAGTAATGAAATACTATATTCCCTCAACTCAGTCACTGTTTCGAGCATAGAAACTGATATAATAGAAATAAAGAGCTCTATGATTATCCACATCCAATTATGTATGCTGGATAATGTAGGTTTAAAATCTGATTTCAATCCAATTTTCATGTCATGTTTGTTAACTTGGCAGTAAATTACATGCATTGGATTTAACTACGGGTGTACATGAGCACGCACAATTATATTAAGTTCATTAACAATGTAGATTAACTGTGATAACAACGTATAGCGGTAGTATCACAGCCCTCACACAAATCAAATGAGATTTGTGTGGCACATATGTATTTGGTGCCTCCTTGTACCAATATCTGTGTTCAAATAATAATAATAATCTCTGTGGTGACTGGTAAGTTCGTTGCACAGAATAGTGTCGATTGTAGTCCTTGGTTTCTTTGTATTGAGTGATGCTTAAATGGTCTTGGAGCCTTGTGTTTCTCATTACATAAACGCTTATCCTGGTTCTTTGGATAACGTGAGTGACCTTATCAATTTCAGTGAGACATTCAATGTGATTTAATGACAATATTAACCGACATAATCATTAATAATAATTAAGAATGAGACAAATTCATTTTATAAGTTGAAATTTGATCTCAACAGAAAAAAAGGATGTAGATGATTTAGCTTTAGTTAATTTTATTGTGTTCAGTATAATCAAGCCTTGAGTCAAGTGTACATAATCTACGCTAAAACACCAAGTAGGCTTGTGATATCAAATTTCGATAATCAAGTTAAAATACGAAATAGTAAGCGTTTTTGGTTTCCGATATTCCGGACTGAACATAATTTATAAGTCATAGATACTTAAATAATAATAACTTTTAATTAAGAGCATTTTCGTTCAATCGAGCATCAAACTTTATACCAATTAAGTTTATTAAAAAACCATCTTTAAAACGTTTAGTCCAGGTTCAATCTGTTACTGTTAACACGTGAAAATATCTATTAGGCAATTGTTATCATGACAAGTCCGAGATAGGATTCATTCAGAAAATGTCTAAATATGACATATTTTGTAGTTTTAAAGACTAAAATTTTTTAGGACGAATAGTGTAAGCTATGATATTATTAACAATATTAATCCTAACAAACATATGCATGGCATATATTACTGACCGATATGTGAAGAAATCCCAATTAGTTTCTGTTTGCTTACATTACCAATACATAGTACTGTGATTAGTATGTCAATCAGGGACCATACCACTCTTTAGGCTGATTTAATGCTTTATTGAAACTTCTGGCCCAAAACCAAAATAGACACATGCTTATGAATAAGCAGTAATAAACTATTTCTTCAATCTGAATAGTCATTATCAACTTCAAAATAGATAAATCTATACTCCTGAGTTATTTCTTACTACCGTCACAGTAGGTGCTCTCTTATAGGTCGAGGCATGTCCGTCGATAAATAACCTGGCTATATATGTAATGTGAGTCACGCAAACTGTTTAGTGGTGCATAAGGTGTGACTCAAAAATGTACAAATATACATACTCTGTGAGTTAGAGTTGCTGTCCAACTGCTTAAGCTGGAGCAGATGACATTGGCATAGACCTATGAACATCGTATAAGTGAAAAGCATACATAAAGTAGATAGTTTTAAATAATGTTTTGTTGGCGTATGCAAAAAAAATTGGTAGACGTTCTGAAAAACAAACGATTTTGTAAAGATACCTTTTATTTTACTGAGCTGCCAGGCAGCGAAAAATTCAAAACAGCCATGTCAATATTCATCTCTTGCGTCTAAATTTCGACGAACAGGTAACTTATAGTTCATAACTGTCATAAAAGTCTTTATACTTTATGAACTAGTCAAGTAGTGAGAACAGAAAAGATGCAGTAGACCGCAGGACATAAATTGCAAATACTCATTAGAGTAACTGCTAGGTTTACAACAAGACTTATCAGATGTTAAACATAGCTTGTTTTTATTAACAGAGAAGATAAAACCAACTTGACAAGAAATCAAACTGTTTGCTTGTTGACTTTGTGAAATGCAAATAAAAGCACTTAAAAGTCGTTAGAAAAATTTAGTATTAATTCACATCCTCTAGTTGTTGTGGTAGTTTCTACTCTTCTTATAACCAAGTTCTTACCTGAGGAAAATCAACCATTTGATATCACTACTAGGAACATCATATTGGCGATGACTTCACTATCGCAAAACATGTCTCTTTAGCATAGTAACATAATGAGCTAAATTGACCAGATAGTTCAACTGAATCGTACAACCGAATATGACAATTATGATACAAATTACATTTGGAGAATCATCATAGAAACATTAGCTTTGTCGTATAAGAATCTATACTTGAAATCTATATCAGAATGTCTACAGGTTACATACATTATTAATGAGTCGGTTTAAATAAAAAAATTACTAACAGTATAATAACTCATCTAATTACACTTAAAATTATGGAGTTTGAATAATAAGACGAAACTCCATGGAGAACTTGTAATATTTGTTTGGATAAATCGTGAAAACAGCTTGCACTATCTGAAATTATGCATTCATGGAGGTGTAATGGCAGTTAAGACGTGTTATCTAACGTCTCCAAGCCCTCAGAAGAACATCCTGACTAATATTACCTAATTTTATATTGTTATCAAATCGTATCAATAGGATAAAAGCACTAGAAAGCAAACATCATATCAATGCTCAAAATGTGTTCCAAATAATTGCAAATAAATCTGGCTTACGGAAGCATACCCAAGTGATAAACATGAATGATATTCAGATGGCTTGACAAGAAAAATTCTTTAGAGTATCTTTATCAATTAAAGATCATCTAACATAAAGTACAAGTTAAAATGAGTACATCACGAGAATTAGACGAGTAATAAGGTTTATTCTGATATCTGACAAAAAGAATATTTATAAAAAGAACTTGCCAGTTATGATAAAAATTTCTATACACGCTTGAACACATTTTAATAAAATGATGATATTCAACGGTTAAATTAACAAGAATACAACAACAAAGGCGAGTGTAGTGAAAATTCGACACAAAGCAATTAATTTTGCTTCACATAACCATCTATAAAAGAAGATACACATTTGTTAGCTTAAAAATATGAGGAAATATAATTCCGTACATCGGGATACACAAACACAATATGAAAATAAAGTAAACCAGTAACGACAGTAAAATAAAATAATGCGAACACAAGATGAAAAATCTCTTGTTTCTTGGAGAAGAAATGAAGGAATATGTTTTCACAGCATGTATCATTTTTATAGCTATTTTATAACAGTAATGTTGCATGATTGGAATTTGGATTTTCATTTGGAATCAATAAATATCTGCCTTTTTTAAAACATATTTATAGATATAATATAGACAGCCGACTGATTGAGAATAGTGAATAAGATCAAAACAAGAAAAATAAAGTACAGGGAAGTTGTTGAACAACAACGTACAGAAAAATAGACAATAAATGTATTCATTCAAAACAATGGGGTACACATAGAGCACATGGAATTAAAAAGTACATAAAAAGAGCAAAACAAATGAAGTAAAATAGTGAGTGAGAATCATAGAAAGGTTAACATAAAAATAATTAATCGCAGTTATAACTTTTACTATCTTTCCATGAACAAATCTCTCTTTGGTATGAGCTAACAACAACGCCTTCTTAGATTATTTCCCGAATCTGAGCCAACCGGACCGTAGGAACCACTTTGTCGAGTACTTAATTGTTGAGGACCTAACTTTATGCCATTTGCCTAAGTTACAAAAAAATGTAGATTGTTAGGCGAGTACAGAGATATATCTGGCCATAAAACGGGATAAGAAAAAATTTTTAGAAATAAAAGTTAGTTAGCTAGCTAGTTACAGTTAGATTGTTAAATAAAATTAATAGTCTACTTATAATCGACAATTATCAAAATTGAAAATTATTCTTATACGTGGGAAAAAATAGTGTCTTATCGGAAACCGACAAGCAAAGAAACTAGTTATGCAGCAATGAATGAAAAGGTTTTGCTGCAATTAATAGATAACACCAACTGTGGTGATACATATGTGTGAAAAAAGCTTTGAATAATTGAGTCAGAGGAAAGTTATCATAAAGATACTAGATATACTAGATATCAACTAAATATTTATAGAATGTTAGTTACCTAAAGTATTACCGTTAATGAATATTTATGAAGACATTTTGACCAACCATACAAGTATTCGATTGTTTTTAATAAGTTCTTCACTTAACAAGTGCATGAAAGAACACAAACAGATTAAGGTGTATTGTATCGACTTCTTAACGAGTGTGAATACAGGATTACCAGTATATTCACTATTTGTCGGTAACAAATTTTGCAAAAGTTAGTGATGCCAAGTATTTAAACAAAGTGGATTGAACTGATATATAACTGGAAGTGGGAGTTCGTTACTTATTAAAAAAGCTTTTGGAGCTCAAGACCAAAATGGGTTTGAATCAGTGCCGATGATTATATTTTGATGACTCAAAAGAACTAGCTACCTTTCAACGAATCCTGTACCCACTAAACTAGGTGTTGAAATGGATTTAATTAGTATGAACACTAGGCAATAACCACTTACGTTAAATTCACAAGAATATGGGTACTTTTTCATGCAATCAACCTAATATCTTAGGTTGCTTAGAACTGGAGAGATCTAGTAAAGTAAGTGGGCATTCATAACTCGCTGGCTAATCGTTGGTGTTTCGTGTTCATGTACATATTATAAAACGTTTTAAAAGCTTAATATTCAAACAACCTTATTTGTCTCAACGGGGACATCGTGAAAATAGTTATGTACCCAAAATTATATATATATATTGGTCGAACCTAGAAATAATACCCGAATTTGAGGTAAATTCACGAAAGTAGCAGAGTTATTAGAAAAAGAAACTACAAAAGAAGCACACATGGAATTATATACAAAACATTTATTGCTCAGAGGTATAACCAAGTAAATCGATAAAAAGAGAAACAGGAGAAATCAACGGTACAACTGACAGACATTGCCGGATGACAGTCTTTCAGACACCTCCATTGAAATACTTTATTCTAAAAATACTAGGATACAGCTTCTTGTTATCTTCAGAATACAATAATCTGACAGATTCAAGCATATTTCATCTACTTTGATAGGGCCATTACTAACTTCATAAATACCAAATGGACAGCTTCAATGTAGTACTAAGATCTCCTGGTCTTTTGTACAAACAGTTCATACGCTATCAGTAAGAACTAACAACTATAAACCGTTTCGCTATACTATGCCAAAAACAGCTAACAACCTATGCACTTCCAATGTGAATGACAATGTTAAAATGAGTTCTATGTAAACATATACCAGTTATTTAACAATAAACAAGACCAGGCTACATTCATTGTAAAAAATTAAATAGGTCATCTTGATAAAATTTGATGTCAGTGATACAAATGTTAACTTATATCGTATGATGAAAGTATTCCATTTCATTGGTAGTGAATTATTTAATATGAATAAATAAATAAAATATCCAAAACCAATGTGCAAACTCGTTTAGAAACATAGTGAAATAAAAATTCACATGGTATTAAAAACCAATGGAATAAATACTTGTGTATATTCATTCACATCTCGGTCGACTTGATAGTTACTTCAATATTATAAATAAACAAATCATGGCAGATGATTCATACAGATATTAGTCAATGTTTGCATAAATAGTAGAAGTTAGGATCGGCGTATATAGAAGACATTACTTTCAAAAATTAAACTAAAAATCATCACAGAGATGAAAATGACATTTAACTTCGCCTAAACCATCCTTTAATTGCTGACCATCCCACACATAGGAAAAGGAGAAAGGCTGTGTGTAACCTCAACAACCCCACCTGGCGAAAATACACTAATCAGTCCTCTTACACTCTATTATGGAAGTTCAAGAAATGTTATTCACGACTCATGACGAAAGCCAAAATTCTTCGGGAATCACCTACACCATATCTCCTCCGACAAAACCAAAACCGACAATTAATACACGCACATGGAATATCGAAAACTGGTAGGGATTGGGACGACCATTCGAGTAACAGAGGAAATCAGCAGACGCAACCTGAATGTGTTTGCAATAAGTAAAACACACTAAACACTATCTCAACAAAAACAATAACTTCGAGAGACTACTCATTGTATTTCGTTCAGAAACAGAAAAATTCAATACACACAAGGAGTCGCACTCACGTTATCCAAAGAACCAGGATAAGCGCTTATGTAATGAGAAACACAAGGCTCCAAGACCATTTAAGCATCACTCAAGACAAAGAAACCAAGGACTACAATCGATGCCATCCTGTGCAACGAACTTACCAGTCACCACAGAGATTATTATTACTATTTGAACACAGATATTGGTACAAGGAGGCACCAAATACATATATGCCACACAAATCTCATTTGATTTGTGTGAGGGCTGTGATACTGCTCGCGTGCCCAAACCGAAGCAGAGAACACAGAGAACATCTTAAACACCAGTTTTACGAAGGGCTCCAACTCACACTGAACAAATCTTCAAGAAAAATGTTGATCATCCTGATGTGAGACATCGACATCGAATTCGGGCCCCCAAATGCCCTGGTGTGGCTGAAAGTGGGGACAGTCCGCTCTCGCTCTCGAAATGCTCTCACATGGCCACGCGTATATAGCCTCTGCCAGGGAAGTCCTACTCACTTCTCGTGGCGGGGGTTGTTTACGAAAATGAGAGGACGAAAAGCGAATGTCCGGCGCTTTAACCGGATTCCAAATCAATGGTGGACATGGGCCCCAGAATCCTGAAGGAACAAATGGCGTATGAACCAATTGTTGGTCACCGGCCTCCATTGAATTGCATCTCCATACGATGCTCCACTGCCTTGTGGATCAGACCTTCAGGTCGAAGGCTCGGGGAGTGGCCCCCTAAGAAAACCACCTGCCTCAGTTTGGGCACCCGGGCAGTATCACAACCCTTACACAAATCGAATGAGATTTGTGTGGTGCATATGTTTTTGGTGCTTCCTTGTACCAATATCTATGTGTTAAAATAAATAAATAATATCGGATACTAAGGCATTACGGGACGACATAGACTACCAGAGGGTAACGAGAATGGTGTGTGACTGGAGAATCTATGTGCTATTAACAACATGGTGACTATTGACGGCAGTATTTCTCCTGACAATCCCATACACAGAGCTACACAGGAACACACTACAAGAAACGAGACTGACCACATCTACGTCAATAAAATATTTACAAGGTACATGTGAGATGTACGAACAGATTTGGCCTCATATTACCACATGGTGGTGGCCAAGCTCAAACTGAAGTTGAAGAAACACTGTATAGTTGGATAAGTAGCATTACGAAGGTCTGATATCCCATCCCTTAAAGGTGCTGACGAGCTCAGCGAGTATGTCGAGTGACTAACAAGTATATTTAGTCTTGTTAACAAGTGTAGATTACCTGGTTGGGGACTGTCAATGACAGGAAACAAAATGGTTTACAATTGTCCAGATGCATCCATTCTTTATCTTCCCACGATTTCCAAACTTCTGAGTTTCCCATAATTTACTTTTTATTTGACTTATTTATAATTCCTTGAGTCAAATCTTCGTTTCCCAGTTTTTCCAATTACCACTAATACTGTTACAACTTATCATATTCTGTGATTTAAACTAACAATTCCATTTCGTTGTGCTAACGCGCTGAGACAACCCAAACCGACGTACAGATGTACCAGGTTCTACGTTGTGTTTGACTGACTAACTGACTGTATTCCAATTGAAGACTGGTTTTAGACAAAGATTCATCTCGTCTTTCCTCTTTCTGAAAGTTGTTGACTGGATTGTGAAGACCTCCACTACTTAGGAGACAAGAGAAAGCACCCAAATAGATGATTTGCACTTTGCAGACCACTTAGCTTTTCCACTGCATGCATGACAACAAATGCAAATGAAGACAGCTAGTGTATCAGCGGCTTCTTCAGTACCAATAAACACAAAGGAAGAAAAGAGATGTGAAGAACTACCACAACCTAAAATGTGTAGATATTTACAAACAGCTGTCTGCGTAAAATGCTTAAGAGATTCATTGGTCAGAGACCATCACGAATAACCTACTCTGTCAGAGAACAGTCCAGCTACCAGTTAAGGGAATCAGTAGACGACACTGGAGGTGAACTGTAAACACTTTGAGGAAACCATCAGCCCCCATTATAAGGCAAACCCTAACTTCGAGTCGTTAGGGAAATGGAAAAGAGGTAAACAAAAACATGGCGTCGAGAAACGAAGGTAGACGTCAGGACCATAAACAATACTCGGCAACAACTAAAAAGGAAAGGTCATGACTGGGTTTGTTGGAGCTTTCTGGTCAGTAATCTATGTCCAAAAGAGGTCTAAGTATGTAGTGTATGAAAGACAAGTTTCTAAAACGTTGATCTTCAAAAATGATGCGACAGGTTTCAACTCTCTTTCACATATTTTGGTTTAAGCAGTTGGGTGGTATTTCTGATATTTGTCACACAAAAAACCCTTTCAGTCCTTAACTCTTTGGGAATGACCTCCAAGGAATTTCAAGCGGGCTTAGCAATGCCCGGTGATATGGAGACTAAGATATGAAATTTTCATGATAAGTGCTAATTTGTTGAGATACAAATAAAACAAGAAAGTATCTGTAATTTTTCAGATGGTGTGGCGCATATATATTTGGCGCACTCCTGTACCAATATATATGTGTTCAAATAAATAATAATAAAATAAATATAAATAGATGGTTCATTTACTTAAAATTTAACTTTCTTTCTACTTCACAGTAGAATATTTGAGGGTCAAGAAAACTTACGTCAAAATACCAACCTCTGAATAATCACGGGTTTAAGGAAGACTGTTTTCATATAACAGACCATGTCTAATTATAACTGATCAAGGCTAATTAACTCATTATTTCTATAACGGTTAAAACTAATGAATAAAGTATTTTTGTACAAACCTAAATAAGGTAATGAAAACGAAAACTTTCTTTCGAAACAACAGACACCTACATCATTATTGATATCTAAAAGACCTAGTTGTAAACGTTCATAGATAGCGCGTGCGGTAGTGGCAAAGGCTTGTTCTACATTTACTCCGGTTTTAGCTGATGTTTCTAGGAATAATAAATTGTTCTCACGAGCGAATGCTTCAGCTTCTTCCTGTTTAACCTCTCGCCTCGCATCCAAATCACACTTATTTCCAACCAATGTAATAACCATATTTGGGCTTGCATGCTGCCGAGCATCTTGCAACCAGGATGCCAAATGGTTGAACGTATCACGCCTAATAAACGTTAAGTATTGAAAGAATAAAATCAACATAAAATATGATCGATTGATTTTACAAAATACTGTGGAGAAAAGTAAAGTTATTTAACATATTAGATTATGACTAATAATTAAAGTGAAGACTGTGAAACAACCAGTTTACTCAATAAATTGACTTTCATAGGCCTCGAAATCATGCATCGTTGATTGACAAAATGAAGATGTAGATGTCAAAGTACTAACAGAAAGTAAAATTTATAACTGGACATTACAACTACACTGACGAAAGATCACTGATGAAATTGAAGCTATCTAAGCGAAAGATCTAAGTGAAGTGTACAAAATTCGGATTCATCACATTAACATGCACTTCGCTGATAAGCATTTTAGAACTTAGAAGAGGAAGAGTAGTCTCTCGTAGAACTCAGTTTTTACACAGAGCAATAACTTAAAGAACAAGAGAGCGTTTCTGTTCTGAACTTTACACCTACAGTTACTGGGGAAAACTGAAAGTAAAACTCAGTAACATGACAAAATGTAAGCTGATGACGATATAATCGGAAGAATAGCGTAGAAGCATAGCTTTTAAGGCTGTCATTCGAAGAATTATTATTTATGTCTTAATTGTATAATTCGTAAACACTTACGCTGTTGCATTTTTCGAATTACAGAGTGAGACGTGCTAAAGTTAGACACAGAACACTGTTCAAAGCAGTTAATGAGGCTGTGAATCTTCATCGATGGAGATTCAAACATGAATTACGTATGCTCAATAAACACTTACCTCGATGTTAGATGTTGGTTGATGAGGAAATATCTTGTAATAAAGACGAGGAGAAATCAAAACGTAGGATAAGTCCTAAATGTCACTGACCGTTAGGCTAAGCCATGTTAACAGCTGCTGAACACTTGGGGCTAGCGCAATCATCATTAAATCCGGTTAAAGACGCTGCGCAATATAGCTAGAATCGACCGTAATCATCTAGGTGTACTCACTGTTCGTTTGCCTCTATAACCTGAGTTCTTTTCACTATTTATTCTGCGAGTTCGTTCTTGTATTTGGGATATTCTCTATGACGAATATTTTTTGTCACTGATACTACTACTTATTAATACTCTCTTTATAAATCTAAAGTGATGTGGCCAGGTGTGTGTGTGTGTTAGCTTACGGATTGCTGACTAAATCAAGAAGTTTATTTACATCGAAGATTCTTTGCTATTTAAATGACCCTAAATAGCTGAATCCTCTGTTGTTGAAACTCGTGTACCAGCTGCCGGTTTATGTACCCAACCTTCAGCTACATTTTAGATATATGACTGCAAGTGAAACTACCCAGGTCCCTAAACTGGAGTAGGTTGAGAGAGGTTTACACTTACAACCTACTGGTAAAACGTTTAGTGTTTGAACTAATAACCCACCGCTCCACTGACTATGCAAAATCTCGTTATTGACTTTTACCATATTTAAAAGACTCGTATTAATAATCCTGATGGCATCAGTTGGTCCATCACAGTTTTCCGCAGTCCTAAAATAAGGAAAACCACGAACTTGAAATGTTATTAAATACAGCTCAGAACAGAAACCTATCGTTATTCTGCCTCACTTTCCTATCATATTCTTCACAGATATATTCTTATAAGACAACGAAATCCAAAATCAGTTCCTTTCTCAACTGGATTGGACTTACGCTTCGCTAATATTCATTATTCTTACAGTTTTTGACAGTAAATGCCGTTTTTATGCATTTTGCTCTGTACAAACTTACCTCATCGGTTACATCTCTTTCCAACTCCAGCAAAGAATTGTGCTTGGTAATTACTAACTTTTTATAACGTAGTTCGCTACCAACAATATATTCAAAGATATTACAATATTGTTAACTCCTATCACTTACTATATTACAATCCTGTAGAGGTTATTAATAGACTTAGTGGTATCAAGTAATGGGGTAGTGAAAGTTTAGTTGCAGGTTAAAGCCGCATTTCATCTACTTTGGTTTGGACAATCAGGTAATATCACTATCTCTTAAACAACGTGTTGGCCAATGATGTACTTAAAAACTTACTTGATATGTGAGTTACGTTAAGCGGAAACCACAAGCTGTAACCAGGAAACTTCAGTGAAGTGTTAAAATTATTTATCTTTCTTGTGTTTGAATTACAATGATTATTGAGGTGAACTTACATACGGTTAGCTTGGCTCAAGGAGAAATAATTAAAGTAACCTATCAGTCAACACAAGTAAGAATAACTTTTAATAAGTCTATTGAGTTGAATACAAGTTTATTTGATCATTTTGGTAACATTTAAATTCAATTAAGCATCACTATTCGTTTTATTTCTGATCGATTATGATGTATTAACGATGACCTGCATAGCTAAGTAAACCTGATAAGTACCCAAACTCAACTGTCTACTATACTGCAACAGCTAAGAAACATGACATTCGATTTGCCATTTACAAATCTAGCTAAGAAAATAATAAGCTTCAATATTTAGTGATGTTTAGGTGCCTAGAACTCTCTAGTTCTCCATACCGAGTCGACATAAGGGAAGAACATGTATCAAAATTAGTCAGTCAGTCAGCCAGCTACAACGTAGGACCAGGCACATATATGCATCGGTCCAGGTTACCATACCTCGTTAGCACAGCAAGATGAACACCGGATTCATGGGAGTGGTTAGGTTAAAGGTGGTAATATATAGGAGAAAGATTGCATATAAGGATACAGTACCGGAATATAGAATTAGTTCGTAGAAAGATATGAGGCGATTTTAATCTCTTAGTTTAAGGGAAGACAGGGAGTGTATGCACCGACGCCATTGTGATCGATTCTGAGCCATGTCACCAAGAGTCTCCAACCATCGGTTACGATAGTCACGCGGACCCCAACCAAGTAGTCTGCATCTACCAACATGGCTCAGATTAGAGGTTAGTGTCTTCAAGCACTGATGCCACGTTTTGGTTTGGCCGCCCCTAATTCTCTTCCAACCATCTCTAACACCTGTTAGCATTGCACGACGTGGTAATCGGTGTTCAGGCATACGTAACACGTTGCACAACCATCTCAGTCGATGAAGATTCATAACCTCATCAACTGATTTACCATGATTACCTAATACCCTGCGTCTAACCTCACTATTACTTACCCGGTGATCCCAACAGACGCCAGCAATATTTCTAAGGCATCTGTGGTCAAATACTAGTAGCTTACGGGTGTCTTCTACTCTTAATGGCCATGTTTCGCTGCCGTAAAGTAAGACAGAACGGACTGCCGCGCAGTATACTCGTCCTTTTATTGATAGACGGATATCTCGCCTTCGCCACAGGTGACGTAAGTTGGCAAAAGCCAAACGAGCATTTCGAATCCGTGCACAGAATTCGTCCGATACCAAACCATTAGGGCTGATCAGACTTCCAAGATAAGTGAAGTTGTCAACGCGTTCGACCACTTCACTCCCTATCCTTAGTTCAGGTGTTGACGCAGACCAGTCCTGAAGCAACAACTTGCATTTAGAGGGAGAGAAGTGCATTCCAAACATTCTGGCATTGTTGCTTAGTGCTACCAAAAGACTCTGCATTTTATCAGCGTCTTCACCGAACAGGACTATATCATCTGCGTATTCTAAGTCGGTAAGTGAACCTTCTGGAAGGAGATCAATACCTGAGAATTCAGTCGACGAGAATGTTATTTCCATCAGTAGGTCTATGATGAAGTTAAACAGAATTGGAGAAAGTGGATAGCCTTGACGGACACCACTTGAGGTTGCAAAACTAGATGACAGTTCGCCATAAGCTCTCACTCGACTAGTGTTCGAGTAAAGAGCCTTTACAAGGTTTATGTACTTCTGGGGTACGCCTTTCAATGACAGACACTGCCACAGAATCTCGCGGTCTACCGAGTCAAATGCTGCTTTTAAGTCAAGAAAGACCACCATTGTCGGACGCCGATAAGTATGCCTGTGTTCTAGAACCTGACGAATGGTGAATATGTGGTCGATGCAGCCACGACCAGGTCTGAAGCCAGCTTGGTTTTCTCGTGTTTGCAGTTCACGAGTCTTAGTTAGGCGTCTGATTATTATTGAGTCTAGTATTTTAGATACTATATTTGTTAAACTAATCCCTCTGTGGTTGTCATAAGATGATTTTGATCCTTTCTTATATATTGAGATGATAAGTGATGGCGACCAGTTAGATGGAATAACATCTGGCTCCCAGATCTTAGCTAAAATATTAGTCAACCTAACCGCTAAAATTGGACCACCATCCTTAAAGACCTCTGGAGCCAATCCATCTGGACTAGCTACTCTTCCTTGTTTCAGATTAACTATAGCCTTTTGAACTTCTGCTGGAGTTGGGGGACCTACTTCAATGTTCCATTCACACTGTCTGGGAATGGACGGTAGTTGTAGAGTCGCTGAAGGTTAGCTGAACTGTTCCCTAAAGTGTTCCGCCCATCGTTCTAAACGTCTGGACTGGGAATGTGGCTTTTTTGCGTCTAGTGAGGTGTAAGCAAATGCGTGTCCGTACTAGAACGTGGTCGGAGTCCAAGCAGGTACTCCAGAATGAGCGACAATCTTCTACCGACCCTCTCCAACGATGACTGATGGAAATATGGTCTATTTGAGTCCATCGTTGATTTGGTGTAGGGGGTCGCCATGTTAGACGATGTCTCTCCTTGTGCTTAAAATTTGTGTTTGCTAAAAATAAACGATTGTCTGAGCATATTTGCAGCAGACGATCACCATTATCTGTTCGTTGTGCCGGTATACTAAAATACCCACCTAAATGCCTTTCTGTTTGGTTTAAACTACCTATCTGGGCATTAAAGTCACCTGCTACGAGTACTATGTCTGAACATTTAGCTTTCTGAAGAAGTTCAGATAGCTTTCTGTAAAATTCATCCTTCACTTCATCTGAGCTGCAGTCGGTGGGAGCGTAGGCAGAAACGACAAAAAGGCAACGACGTATGTCCCTTTCCTTCCGAGTTCTTACGGAGCCGTTTAGCCGGACAGCACATAGACGACTGTTGACGGGGATCCACTCTAACAGTGCTTGTTCGGCCCTCATGCTTAGTGCTATGCCTACACCTGCCAGTCCACGAGAGCTAGCCATCGGGTCACCAGATACACGGAGGGTGTATCTCGTTGGCTCTCCGTTTTGCCGAGGTGAGGTCAAGTGAATGACCACACTGGGATCCTGTATGTGTGTTTCGGAGACACAGCATACATCAATGGTACGAGATTCTAGGGTTTTAGCCAAGGATGCCTGTTGACCGATTTGACATAAGGTGCGTACGTTGAAGGCTCCAATGTGTAGTTTGGAGCGAGGTTTCAGTAGACCTGAGACAGTGTTCTGAGCACTAGAATCGTTGGCTATGGTGATACTTGAGGAGGAAGCCGAAAGAAAAAAATTAGAGGTGAAAGTCGATGTAGGAGGAATAATAGGAATTGAAGAGGGAGGTTGATTATGAATCCAGTGGTCTTGAGTGCTGTTAGAGGTATGAGGGCGGTTATCACTTCCCGGTTGCCCACACCGTGGAAGGGTTCTTCTGGAGGTACCTGAAAAGGAAATCGGATTAGAAGTGGTCTTAGTGACCTGGGAGCGTGACCGCAGTGCCCAAGGGACAACTGCTTGAGGTCGGTCACACACGACCTTTTTATGGGCAATTTTTGTGTTAGCTCCGTACTTGTTGAGACCTTTACCGCCGGAGACGGATATCCGTGGGATAAGGCGAGGTGTGCATTTTTAGGGTCGACCTTTTCTAACCCCACCCCTCCTTGTGGGAAGGCAGCATCGCTGTCATGCTGGTTGTCTGAAGGAGACACCTTACTGCTGTCACACCTCTGTACAGTCAGCAGTACGACTTCGCCTTCAGACCTTAGGTTTGTTGCTTTTAGTCTTACCGCTCTTCAACCGTCCTTTCTGACGTGGTAGGACCTTGAGGAACAGTTGTTCCAGTCAGTATAGCTCGGTTGCTTCATCACGATAGGCAAGCCCGACCACCACGTCAAGGTAGCAACAACGGTCAATTAATATCCACAATAAGTTAGTGAAATGAATAAATAAAAAAAATCAAAGATTTCATAACAAACCTGGTAACATCGTAAACAAGAAGAGCACCTGCCGCACCCCGATAATACGACCTGGTTATGGAACGAAAACTTTCTTGTCCAGCCTGCACAAGAATTAAAGTAACAGTAATAAGTAAAATGTAGTGAAGATGAACTGAAGCGTTTATTGAATTAGTGTGATTAGGTAGACATTTAGATAGACGGCTAATTAGATTTAAATATAGATTATTGAGGACATATTCAGGCAAATAACTAATCTTTACTTAATAAATGATTATCAACACGACACTAATGTCCTAGTATAAGCCACAAAAGTTACTTCGAAGACAGTCGTTAAGAAGCATATACAGTAAGATTGTTTGCGAATGTGAACTACTACAGAAATTTTGTTGTAGAAAGTAACTAATTGATATGGAATGATCTCAAAATCAATTCCTATCAGTAGTTAACGTCAGTTGAAATCTATTTGTTGTATATAATATTTAAGTACAGTGCATTATTTAGGGACACAAGGCAGTGTTCCAAATCCAAGATATTTCATAATCACAGTTCGGCATTTATAAAATATACATTATTCGAGGTTGATATTAAGACGAGAATAAGGTTGAGTCAGCCAGTATCAATTAGTACAATAGATATAATGCCGTAAACCTAATGTTACATAAAAAGAGAAATATCACCGGTATCAGATACTGAACCCTGATGAAAATACAGTCAAAAGTGGACAGCAGGCCTCATGTTAAACAAGCAAATGTAATTAGTCGATCAGGATGAGAAGTGGTAGTCCCTTGTCATGAACACTTTAAACAAACAGTCTCAAGCTATTCACAAATTATTTGCCCTGTAAATTGCGGTTTTACTAAATCATAAAGAACCACAAAATGGACTGCAGCATTGACCTACTGAAGCTCATATTTTAGACGTATAGTTATTCTAAAATGCCCTGCTACGACCGAAGGTGGTGAGAGTCAGCTCTCCCTCTCGAAATGCTCACATGGTCAAATGTATGCAGCCACTGCCAGGGAAATCCTACTCATCGCTCTCTCGAGGCGGTGTTTATTACAAAATTGAAAGGACTCTAGTATCTACTCATTTGCGGATAAACCTTTCGCCTTTTACTAAAGATTTCCGTGGGGAGGCACAATACAATGAGTCTAATCTCACTTTTTCCAACTTCAAAGTTCAAAAACCGAGATCAAATCGTTTACATCTGGAGTTTCGTTTCTCGCACCGAGTAGTAAATTACTGGAATTCTCTACTAGAACACGTAATACCAGCACCTTCTGTTGATATGTTCAAAACGAGATTGGACCTCCAGTGTGACAAACTGCAAGGATTAATAGAGGTCAACAGACCTTTTATCTTTATTGCTGAGGACTGGAAAGCGAATGTTCGGCGCTTCAACCGGGTTTATTGACGCAGATGGTGCACCTAGAGTAGTTGGGAAACCGACTCCAAACCAATGGTGCACATGGGCTCCACTGTCTTGTGGGAACAAATGGCGTATGAACCTATTGTTGGTCACCGGCTACCATGAGACTGCATCTCCTGACGTTGCTCCACTGCGTTGTGGACCAGACAATCAGGTCGAAGGCTACGGGTGTGACCCCCTACGAAAACCACTTACTTCGGTTTGAGCAACCGGACAGTATTATAGCCCACACATAAATTAAGTGACTTATGTGGTGCATATGTATTCGGTGCCTCTTTGTACCAATATTTGTGTTCAAATAAATAAATAAAACAAAATGAGACCTGTATACAGAGATATCGGTGATTAACTTATTTGTGTAAAGCTAGTCAGCTAGATAAAGTCCCACGACCCACCTACCATTACATAAATACCAGTTTTGGAGCTGATGTGTTTACACGAAAAATATTTAAATAGGATTAGAGCTGTCATAAATGCCTGGATTTAGCCAAAATTCTTTACAATAACACTAATGTTGTGGTAAAGTTTTGTAGGTGTTGCATATTACAAGGGCGTTATTGAGACTAATCGCACTTGCCAAGACTTAAAACAAGAAATTTTAGGTTGTATCTTTGTTTTAGTTTAAGTTTCTGGATGAGAAGAGATTGATCACATATCAAAAGCTCGGATAAGTCTGGCTTCAAAAGAAAACTAACCGTGTCCCAGACTTGAAGCTTTATTTGCTTATCACCAATATTCACCATTCGAGCGCCAAACTCTACCCCAATCGTTAAGTCATATACAGGCTGGAACCGTTGGTCCGTAAATTGGAGAAGCAAGCACGATTTACCAACAGCTAACGAGGTAATATCCACATACACAACATACCAGTGTCCCCAATAATGATGTATTTGAACAGATATGCATAAGACATTCTCAGTTTAGTTTAAAGTATGTGGCCAATAGTGTACTATTCCTAAAAACACGACCCAATATCTGCGCAGTCAGGTTAAACGTATGAGTTAGTGTTATAGTTTGGTATTTGATCAAAAATCAAAGTCAGCAATCTCCTGATCAAATGTGTACAACTTGCAAGATAGTATACAGAGCGGAACTACTATGACTCGACATTCAGTAAGGCCAACCTGCGACAGTACAAATGACCTAGACCTGTCAAATGTCCTCCCTAGTATTCAATATACCCAATATCTTAGCGAAGAGCTTTGTTTCTTTTCATCGGTTTCATGTTGTGTCGGTAAAGCTCTGAATATTTGGTCATGTCAAATAGCTGCTAGAATAATGAAATACACCATTTTTTCGAAACTGCAGTTTGGTGATTTCCTCAAAGCATGTTGCATCCATCTCCAGAGTCTTTTTCCAATTTTTGCAGTTGAAAAGTGGCTTGTTCTCTCCAACATCAGGTTGTTGCTGATGGTGTCCAGTCAACGGACATTGACTCTCTTGTGTACACAACTGTTTATAAGTACTTGTAAGTTTCTCACGATGGTTGTAGTGTGGTGAACGAGAACACAAGCGGAAACAAACAAATGTATTAGGATACAAAATCATAGAAACTCTTGAAAATATCTCAGAATCATACAATAAACAAATCACTTACAAAATGTTAATCGTCCCATACTTGATTGTTCTTTCGTTTCCATACTAATCATTCTCTGTTCTTGATCTCTTTTCGCCGATCTTCTTAACCTTCTGCCGATGAAACATACTGCTTATATCTATCGACATCACTAGCACACACTACAGTAATAGTTTTCAGAGATTCAGCTTCGTACAGCAGAACTATCTTGACGTTCGTATTGAAGCTTCTGACTTTAATATTGATCGACGGTTGTTTTTAGTCGCATGTATTCTTCAATTGTGGGAATTCTGCCCTTGCTTTGTCAATCCTCACATTTACATCTTCATTAGATCCCCCTTGCTCATCGATGATGCTGCTCAGATATGTGAAAGTTTCCACCTCTCACAGGGTTCCTCCATCAAGTATGATTAGGTTGGTGTTCTCTGTGTTGTACTTGAAGATCTTTGTTTTCCCGTGGTGTATGTTGAGGCCTACTGGTGCAAAGGTTGTTTCCACACTGTTGATCTACAATGGCGTTTGTTCACGCGTATGGAATAGAAGAGCCAGATCGTCTGCAAAGTCAAAATCTTCTAGTTGCATGCAAACAGTCAAATTTATTCCGTGCTTCCCATCAGATGTGGAGGTCTTTACAATCCAGCCAACCACCAAGAAGAAGAACGATAGGGATAACAAACAGTCTTTTCTCACCTTGGTCCTCGCTTGGAATGCGTTTGTCAGCTGTCCTCCATGTACGACCTTAAACTGTAGTCCTTCGCATGTATTTCGGATGACGTCGACTATTCTCTCAGGTACTCGGTAGTGTCGAAAAAGTTTCCTTAAGGTTCTCCTACCCAAATGCTTTCTTATAATCGATGGCGTTAATGCATAGTGATGGATTTCTTTCAATTGATTACTCAACAATGGTCGGCAATGTCGCGATTTGGCCTGCACACGAACGGTCCTTACGGAATCCAGCCTGTTGATCTGGAAGCTGGGCGTCCACTAAATTTTCCACCCGGTCCAGCAACACTGTTGATAACTTATCATGGAACTGACAGTAGTGTGATTCCTTTGTTTTCCTCACATTTTCTCAGACCTCCTTTCTGTTGTATCTTGATGAGACATCATTTTTCCAGTCCATCAGCATATGTTTTCCCTCACATGTCTTCCTAAGTAGACTGTGAAGCATGTTTGCAGTTACGTCTATGTCTGACTTTGGTGTTTCGGCTGGCATACTGTCAGGTTCTGCTGCTTTCCAACTCTTGATTTGTCTAATGGTTATGCTAATTTCTTCCGTTATTGATGTAGTGGCATCTATAGGAATGTATGTGTGTGCTGCCTCAATATCCAATGGGTTCAGTGAAACTGGTCTATTCAAGAATTCTTCGAATTATCCAACCCATTTGTTCCTCCGTTCTTGAATTTCGGTGACTGTTTTGCCTTCTTTGTATTTGACTACTCTCTCTGGTTTACTATATTTCCCTGCTAGTTTCTTCGTTGTGTCATATAGTTGTCTCATATTTTCTTCTCTTGAAACATTTTCCGCTGTCATTGTTAGGTCTTCCATGCAGCTGCGCTCGTCAGAGTGATTGCTATAATCGTAGAAATGGCAGTCGTGTTAGTAATAAATAATTTGTGGGACAATTGCCAAACGGCTGTTCCTGAAGAAAGATGGCAATTCGTGAGCAGCAATCAGGTCTCCTCTTGAAACTATCCACTGAGAGTCATGTAGTCGCATAGTTTTAGAAAATATCATAGATAAGATCGGTTCATGATGGGAAAAAGCGTGACCTTACATGAATTTTCGACTTTTGATATGTAACAACGTTATTATGCGAGTATATCATAGACAAGTACCACTTTGACCCACCCCTCAGAAACTAAAGGAATAAAACACCATATAATAACAGGATCAATAGAAGAAAATCGCTGTCAGTAGCATTGTATTTCCTGATGCAAAAGGTTAAATTCCTACGGAACTTTGCCTAACAACAAAACCCTGATAGCCGTGACAGTAGAATCTCAAATATTATTTTTGCGCAACATAATCATTAGGTCACCGGCAGTTTTCATTGTGAAGTGAGCATCTAATAACGTGACAATACTTAGCATGACTGAATAAATTGTAAGGAATGTAAAAAGTCTTATTACAAACCGGTATGCGAATAATAAGCTTTGAATTTAGCGAATGGTGAGAAAAGCCGAAGTAATTTAGGGATATCAAGGAGGTCCTGAAAATGACAAAACCATAATCATCGCACAATCGCACAAATTTAATCAGGCTTCAATTGATATGGTTAAATTTAAAATTTTCGGTGAAAATTATTTGGGGTCGAACACATAATTGATATTAATGTGGTGACAAGTTATTATCTCAGGTTATGTGAAGATGTTTTTGCTCAAATAAGACTGATGTCGTTTATGAGGAAAACATAGGATCACAGGGTCAAAAGAATTAGGTAAATAACTTCAAGGTGGCAATCAAGACAAACGACTAGTTTTTCACATGTGATCCCTCTAGACCAAGATAAGTGAGGAAAACAGACTGGTAATTTAATTTTTGTCAGTAAAATCAGGATGTGTGCAAGAATCAAACAGATCCATCATAAAGTGCCGGCGTTATTATGAGGGAGTAGTATATTCGTAGGCTTGCATTGAGAAAAAAAAAGTGTGATGAGACGAACATGTTATTTCAGTGGTGATTCACTAGAAAGTTTTGTGGATATTTGTCAGAGTGAAATCACACACCAATACCCACTGAAATTAGCAGCACTTGAATCAAATTTCAAACACTTATTGGATTATTAATATTGAAGAATTGTTCGTCGTAGTAGCGATACTCTTACAACCTGGTTACCGAATGGTTCCAGTGCCACGCCTTTCACAACAAATACGAGCTTAGAGTTACAGTTTAGTGCTCCATCAGTATTTGTCGTCATTATGCTTCCCCATAAAGCACTGAGGATTCATGCTCATGAACCTGTTTGTTTAGAGTTTACGGTGTCTGTGTTAGTGATTAATTAGATCAATGAGCTAATAGTGTGATAGTTGTCATTTTTACAGCTGCTGTAAACGAAGATAAAGGTTGTGTTATGCTTTGTGTTCCGTGTGGTTTGGTCCATAGTTCACAATGTAAATGACCCATTTCTTATATAACAGATAGACGTCATTTTAAAAATCATGATCAACTATTCAGAACATAGACCTTGAAGGGAAACACTACCCTAGTAGGGTTATCAAGGGGGCCACATCAATAGCTCAGAAAAGGTTCACAACAGAATATCAATTAAGATGTACCAATTAGGTAGTAAAACGAGTTGTCCGACAGAACTGTGCAGTCAGTTTACAATTCTTATAGAGTATCGAAAACAGAGCAGTGAACAGATTGTAACTTTGACGAACGCATATATAGTACAAACTTGAGAGAAATCTTGCAATCGCACTCTGAAAATTGAATGGAAAAGGTAGAGCCGACGGGGAAAGCAAATATAAGCATTCGACAACGCCTAGTTGTTTATCGGTCAATAGGCAGAAACCAAATTACTGTAACCAAAGTCAACCAGCAACTAAATTTTTAATAAATTATGTAAACTATGCAGTGTTTGAGGAAGTATTGGAAAATAATACAGGTTCAAAATAAGAGACAAATGTTTCATGATTTCGAAAATTTGTGGAGTGTCCAAATGTCAATATAACTCTACCGTTATTATCGTAATGGCCAAGTCATAAGACGATCCAAAAAAACAAAGGTTTGTCGGATTATTGCAAACTGCTTTGCTTTGAGATATATCGTCAGTAGGAAGTTGACGAGAAACAGTGATCAGTTGCCTTAAATCGTAATATTCAATTTGGTTAAGACAGACCGCATTACCAGTGGTTCAGCATCATAAAGCGAACTCGAATCTTGGAGATAGATATTAGCCAGCGTCAAATGATAAATGTTTGGTCTAACACGACAGAAAAATCTGAAAACTTGGTTACACAAGTCCTGAATGTGATTTAACAAACAAAGCACAGATTGGAAAGTTGGGAAATAACAGTACTGTCACGTGGAACATTCCGGAGCTATCTTCAGGCCATCCACTCATTTACAACTATTTTTCACTATTTTATTATTATCTGGGAGCATTGGTTTCGATTAGAATGTGATCGTCTGAGTTGGTAGAATAGCGAAACCAACAGGAGTCTAAGATTTCGAAAGCATGGGAGAACAACTTCAATACTGTTCAATATTTTTCTCAATTCAAACTATGGAGAGCTCGAGTCAAACAAAACGTTTTGCCTCAGAAACGTTGGTAAACTGAAATCATTGCCTCCACTATCAATGTTCCCTCTTCTTTTTGTGTTAAGGTCTCTTCCAGTGATAGTTCGATAGAGATCATGTCAGACTTCAGGGTTTATATTCCGGTCGTTTAGAGAACGCCACGTCTATAATTGTCAGTTCACAAGAATACTAAACGTCAAGGCTTATAGCAGTAGGATAAAGAATGAGTTTCCGAGCAAAATATAAGCTATTGGGAAAGATTAGAGAAAGATAGGTACTTAACTCAGTATAGTAATTAAATAAACCCAATAAGTTTTC